GTAAATCCCCTTCAAAAAAAATAAAAGATATATACATTTTTGTAGTTTCTTCAAGTTGTTATTCGACAGGAAAAGGACTGTCATGGCCAGGTGGTTAGGGCGCTTGACTCGCAATCTGAGGGTCGCGGGTTCGAATCCCCGTTCCACCAAACATGCTCGCCCTTTCAGCCGTGGGGGCGTTATAATGTGACGGTCAATCCCACTATTCGTTGGTAAAAGCGTAGCCCAAGAGATGGGCAGTGTGTGGTGATGACTAGCTGCCTTCCCTCTAGTCTTTCACTGCTAAATTAGGGACGGCTAACGCAGATAGCTCTCGTGTAGCTTTGCGCGAAATTCAAAACAAACCAGATCGATAGGAAAAAATACCATTGGTATTGATAGATAGCTTTTCCTCAGAGATTCGGAAAGGGCTACCTAATAGTTTTTCTTCTACTCACAGTTGTCGAACCATCATTTATTGACGTAATTTTTTTATTGAGTAGCGTTCGGTCCATGACCATTGTAGATTAATTAGCATTCAACGACAAACACAGTGACTAACAAAGTATTTCCTGTAGAATTACTTATTTACGTGTTAGTAAAGGGGATAAGTGAATCCAGAAATCTACGTATCCGAAGTTACATTTGCATCTTACATAAAAACTATGGACATCAGGTTGATGTCAACAAAACAATATTTCCAAGTTAGGCTATTAAATATAAAATAGACAATGGTTAATAAATTGTACAGTAATTTAAATATTTCATTGTGAACGGCACCTTGTGCGACGCACGAGCTAAACAGTAATGTCAGAGATCCTAAGGTTCAGACATAGTCGTCATTGATTTTGAATTGATGATAAGAAACAGGAACCAGTCAGAAGCACTTGTAGCATCCACGGTTTCTCTTAACCGAATAGCAAGAATTAATTTTCCTTTTATAAAGCCCCCATAGCTAAAAGTGCCTTTTTAAGTTGCCTTTTTATTTGTATAAATTTATTATTGTTAAATCTACAATATACAGGTCTGCACAGTCATTGTCGCTTTTAAAAAGTTGATTTGATTTGTCATAACTGAGTGATATTCGATAATTAAATCCATGTTAATAGAATTTGATTAGTTAATACACATACACATTTTATTAGGTAAACGTTAACAGGACAAAGGCATTTTATCAAAGCTTAGTTCAAACGCTAATTAAAGAAGTAAATTGATATGATAGTCTTAACACCGTATATTTTAACAAATGAGTATGCTAAATGTAATTTTAAGTAATTATATTTATAAACATCTGTAGCTTTTTGTTGTTTCACTTAGGACATAGTTCTGCTTGCAAGGTATAGCAAGCCAAACTAAACACTTAGAACTACATGCAGTTTAGTCCCATCACACATACGTTTTTCGTAACAAAGATATTAACTTGTATTAAGAGTTGCTTACAAGTTCACAGAAAGTTGATCATTTCAAATGATAATAAGAACCTAAGTTGACTTGTGAACTTATGTCTGAGATGGAGTCCTCCTTTGAACCTCCATATAGCTCTCAAATAGCCAATCAAACCATTCTCTAGATCTATGTTACAGATGTTTCACACAAACAGTTGAAGACTGAAGATGTGTTCTTATTGTCACATGGGAATATGATGTGATACATATTTTTCAAATTACATGTTAGAGATGGGAAATGGATCTTTAATCATTTTAAACTCTGAACATCTTCAAAGTAATGATATATACTGTGTTTCAGGAATGTGGTAACAAGTATCAAGAATCAAATTACAACCTCTGATTCGTAAAGTAAATGACAAAATTTCAAACTTATATACAGTAGGTTCACTTAACATGCTTTTTCTAGGTTATGATAAAAAGAAAGGTACAATTCCAGCAAGAAAGTTCTATATTTTATTACGCACGAGTGCTCAGTTGGATTTGATAAAGGTTTTAGAGTGCATAAACACCTATAAAATTTTACATTATCATAGATTCTAGTTGTTGTTTTTTAAAAACGCATAAAATTTTATTTTTTATAATTTTCCCTGCATGGATATAAATATTTTTTTGAAAAATTACATTTATAAACGATGTGCTTCCTGATGACGTAATGGTAAGTTTTAAGGGCTTATAACGCTAAAAACACGGTTCCATCCATGCTATGGGAACATCACAGATAGCTCCCTCTACAGCTTTGTGCTTAACAACAAACAAGCCTTAAGTTATACTGAGCTTTTGCCATCGCACTGTAAGTATGAAGCATGAGTACAAATTTCAAACAAACAAAATTTGCACTTTATTTTGTTCTCTTCATAACCAACTGTAAATTATTTTTTGCTTCTCAAACTTAGCTGTAACTTATCTTGTCTTCATATCCCTATAGCTCATTTTTTTGTCTTCATCCCTCCCTCTGTAACACATTTTGTTGTTTTAAAACCTGCTACTAACTTACTCTGCTGCCTTGACAACTACATAAGATTCAGTTTTCTGTTCTAATAGCTATATGAAACTCATTTTGCTGCCTTCAAAACCGTATGAAATTCATTTCTATGTCTTCACACCCAGATGGAACCTATTTTGCTTCCTTCACAGCCATATGTGACTCATTTTGCTGAATTCACACCCACTTGAAATTAATTTTGCTGTTTTTATGTATACCTGCATTATTTTACTTATAGTTATGGAACTTTAAGAATATTATTTCTACATTAAGCACTGTGTATATATACTGTGTAACTGTTTCAGAGTAACATTAACACAACTTGAAGTTCTAGTATAATTTGAAGACATTTTCTGGCGTTTGACTAACAAGACTAATAACTTAAACTTTTTTTTAAGAAGTTCATTAATCCAACCATCAACCTATTCTCAGGGAAAGAATAATAATGAAAATCGAATTGCACGTTGATAAAAGAAAGTGTCATCGGTAACGGGGTAAACTAAGCATAATGTTCCTGACATGTGATTGCGTGAAAAGTAGCAAATGCCAATAACATTCACAGAGCAGATATTTGATGCTCAATAAATATCAATACCTATAACTGGTATATTTGGGCCAGGCCAACGTATTGATTGTAGATTAAGGCTAATTTTGGCTGTTAATAAAGTGGAGCAGAGTTCGTTTACTTTCAGAGAAGGTTGTTTGATGTAAAAATTATAAATTGTAGACAAGCATTGATTTATTTTATAGATGATTTAGACAGAGTCATCATGATGAACAAACGAAATTCAGACTGAGCTTTCATGATGAACAAAGAAAGGTGAAATAGGCTGCAACTTTCTGTTTCAGCTAACACTTGTGAAAAAAATCTTGGAGGACTAATCTAGAAAAGTAGCTCAGGTGGAAAGGACTGCGTTTCGGAAGATTTCTGACGGAAGTCCTTCGAAAAGTCGTCCTTTGTATCTGTGCTACTTTTGTAGATTAGTCCTCCAATACTTTCTGTACAAGAGTTACGGTGAACTTGACAATTGCTGTCCATTTTACCTTCGTTCAAGCATTGATTTGTTGTTAAATATGTACAACATGGTTCGTAAAAACATTTCATTAGAGATCATATATTTTCGTTTAATGTGTTTTTCTGTTGGTTTTATATATAGTACTTATAAGATCAAATGGTAGAATTCTGTTTGTTCCCAACATCACGATAAAATTATGGCTGTTTGTTACAATTATTAGATATCTTTGTTATACACTAGCACATCTGTATTTCTACGAAATTTGCATTATGTATGTGTTATAAACAAAACTATCGTTAATTAATAGGTTTGAAAATCGTGTAAAATGTTATAATTTTAGAAATATCAGAATGTTCAATTAAAAACAGATTGCAATATATATATATATTATAATTAACATTGTTTTTTTTTGGGCTCTGAAATGGCTTAGCGGTAAGGCTGAAGGCTTCTAACTCTAAAAACCTGGTTTCGACACCTGTGATGGGCAAAGGACTGATAGACAATTGTAAGA